CATTTGAAAGAACAGGGATATTGCTAAAAAAGTATCGATCTTTTTGCCTTCTTTTTCTTCATCATTAATTTCGAAAAATTTAAGAAATCTGCTTCTGTTATTCAATAATATCTATTTGTCATAATTCGATTTTTTATTCAGTATTAATTACAAAATTAATCAAAAAAACCAAAAAAAAGTACAAAAATATAAAAATATGAAATTTTCTCTTTTCTTTGACTAATACATCTTTATTTTGTTTCAGGGGTTATGTGTAAAACGAAATTCAAGAAGAACGGGAAAAGGAAATCAAGACAAGGGACTCGATTGAAGAAATCAAAAGATGGAGGGGTGAAGTTCATCAAAATGAATTTACAAGTCCAACCCAATTACCTAAAAACCCAAACCCAAAGCCCACCAAAACCCAAAAAAACAAGCCCATACCCAAAACCCAAATACTCAAACCCAAACCCATTCAACCTAAACACAACACAAAAAAAAAAAAAAAAAAAAAAAAAAAAGGAAATAAAGAATGGATTTGGAACCTTTTTCCTGCTCACCCGACTTCTCCTTTTCCTTCCCTCCCCAAAACCAGCCAACAGCTTCCTCCCAAACCAACCAGCTTTGCACGCCCGAGCCATCATGCGCCCCTGCACCAGCCTTGCTCTGCACCGAATCAGCCTCCACCCTCCTCTGCTCGCCTACCCCCTACGCGCCTGCACCCGCCTCTGCCCAAGCCCAGATCTGCACTCATCACCAGATCCCCTACTCCTGCGCCCGACCTTGCTAGGCCTCACCTGAACCCTGCTTGCTACCCAGACCCTTAGCCTGCACCAGCCCTGCACCGCGCCCTAGCCCCAATCACCGAACTAGCCATCATCACCCCCTCGCACGCCTGCAACCTGCCCTACACCTAGCCATCATCACCCCCTCGCACGCTGCACCTACCCCCCTGCACCGAGCCTGCACCCCTGCTGCTGCACCTTGCTGCGCCTCATGCACTCCAGTGCCCAATCCCGCGCCCTGCAACCTGTACGCTACAGCCATGCAGAAAAGACAGTGAATAACAGACAATTAGCATCCTCAGAGAAATTTTTTTTATGTTATTGTACTGTTATTTGGGTCTATATAGAGCAAGAGGCAGAGGTCTTTAGGGGGGGGTCTGGTTTTCTGTGGAGGAGTTTTTCGCCTGAGTTTTGGGAGGAATAGAAGGAGATTTCGAGCGGCTGAAAGAGAAGGATTGTGAATTTTTTTAAAAGAGACCAGCTGGAGATTTAACATTTTTGGGGTTTTCTTGCCCTTAGGTAATTTTCTGAAACTGAGAAATTTCAGGAAAAGGGTGGTGAAGGTGACGAACAGAGCTTGATCCCGTGTGTGGGGTTCCTCTGTTTGAACCGGATCCGCTGTCTTTTTCTGGAATTTTCACTTTTAGATTTCTATGTTTGTTGATGTATGATGTTATTTTGTTGATGAATGAATGACAGATCTTTAATAGCATGTAATTAATATGTGTTGAATTCGAAACTGAACGCATGTTCTGCAGAAAATTGTTTAAATTCCATGAATTTAGTTCTCCTGCTTTGTTTGTGTGTTTAATCTTCTTTTATCTATTTTTATGCTTGGATTGTGTTTTTTGGATTGGGTCGGACCCAATCCAAATAAAAAAAAAATCAAAAGTTATCTCTTTTATTTCAATTTCGCATAATCCTTTCATGTTCAAGCACTTTAGTCCAAAAGTTTTAAACCTTTTCAAATCAGTCCTTTGTTTTTATTTTAATCAAAGTAGTCCATTTAATTTTTGTGTTTATTGTGCATGCACGTTCTTGATATTTTGTTTATTTCAGTCCAAAAATAAAAAAAAAAATATTTTGATTCGGTTTATTTTTTTTTTCAAGTTTGCTTTTTAAGACTTAAACATAAACATGATGAATAAGTTGAATTAAAACCTCCAATGTTAAAGTATGCAACCGTGTTTAAACGGAAGATTGTAAGGTGCGCGTATGCCCTTCCTCATTCTTAATTGAATCTTCGAATCTCGATCTTTCTGTAAACCCGTTTTAGGTGACTTGTTCCACCTTATAATTTGGACGAAATTTAGACGAGTGACGACTCCCCCTTTTTTTTTTATATTTTCATACTTAATTTTTCATTTATTTTGAAAAAATCTTAAGTGGTGGTCAACACTATCTTTATGCTTTCTTTTTCTTCATCATTAATTTCGAAACATTTAAAAAATCTGCTTCTACTATCCTGTAAAGTTTTGGTAGTTAAAAATTTTAAATGAGTTTACTTTTGATATAAAACTGTTTTCATACTGTTCCCACTCCTTTCTTTCTTTCTTTCTTTTTTTTTTTTTTCCAGATATAAAACAGTTACTTAAATAAAAGGAAAAGCCTTTTTCCCCCTTCAAACTCTGTAACACGATATAGGGAAATGGAATAAGATAATGAAATTCAAATGACAGAAATGGAATTAAAAATTACCAAGTACATGATAAATGAAACTTTCGAGGGTCCACGTGAAAAATTATTATACTACTACCATTTAGTAACAAAGATACAAATGGATCAGAATAGGACATGAAGTTTCATACTTTTATTAATTAAGGATATAAACTTTTTTTCTTTATTAATTAAAGATGAGATTTCATTAGTAACAAATTAAGGATGTAACTCCAAGAGTTGAACCCATCGTCTTTTATTTTTTCTATCTAGCTAACCTAATCATATATTTAGATTTTGTTTATTTTTGTTTTCCTACACTGTAGTTATAGTTATAAA